TTGCCGATTAGAATTTTAGCATGATGTACACTCCGTGGTAAAAACCTCGCTGCTTTTCCCCTCGCGCGCATTCTTTCGCCTGACAATCGGAGCGCACGATGATTTTATTTTGTAATTATTATCAGTTCAAGCCGCGCGTTGAACACATGTAAACGAAGCATCGGAAACGACTTTCTCCTGAAGTATGACGTTTCCACGACAGCCATAAAGCGAGCGTGTAAACAACGAAAACGGACAAACTTCATTTCGACTTCGACAACTTTCCACGATAGATAAGAATATTTTTTTATCATCGCTGGTGGGCATTTTTCTAAATAAACCAACACGCTTTATCGTTGCATTCAACGATTCTTTACGCGTTATCTTGACAAGAGTCTTTTATCGGATCTCATTTCGGTGAGTACGCGATCGTTGCACGCGATCAAACAAACTTAAACGAGCCAGCCAATTTTACAATTTACTTTTACCGTAATGGGAGGGGGGGATTGAACGATTAGTTTCTGGAAAGTTAAGAGAATTTTTCGAACAATTTCATATCTTTCGGGTTTCAGTAGCCTTCCACTGAGATTTGATCTTTTTTAAAAACGTATATATATATATATATATATACACACATACACACACAGATGTATATACATATATTCAATTTTCTGCCCAAAGAAATAACGTTGCAAAAATTGTTCTATTGTTCGTGTGAAATCGAGACACTTGTTTTTCGAGATCCGCCCTCGCGGTGCAATTTACTCTGTAAAATATGGTGAGCTCTGCGAAGCTACAAAAGTAAATTCCATTAAAGCAGCAACGGGGTACTTTTCTTTAATGTCGTTAGCAGGAAAGAGCGGGAACGAGCGATGGTGGGGGAGATTCTGAAGGGCCGTATGAGGGTAGGGGCAGAAACGAATCGCACTGAATCAACGAACAACGCTTACGACGAATATTTTACGTATTCCCTCTACGACGATAAAAATATCTCCTACTAGAGAAAGAAAGAAAGAAAAAAAAAACGAAGTATTCACCTTGGAAAGAACTTTAATCTATCTGAAGAAAGATAAGCTCGAATGATTGATGAATTTGCTGATTGATAACGCTCCTATTACATCAAAATTATACGATCCCCAACCTATATTCATTTTTCACGGATTATGAATATTTGGTTCGGCTAAACGCGCCGGGGATCGATACACGCACACGGCACGGGCGCGTGCGAGCACGAATAAATATGCCCGGTCGCGTGTACGCAAATTTTAATCATGAATCGCCAATTGAATTCTAGGGAGAACAAGAATTGTGCATTCTCTGATCGGCGCGCTCGCGCACCAACGCCGATGAATTATCGGCTAATTTCATTTTGCCGTTGAAAGATCATAAAATTTATCTGGCGTCTGGTTTTTGTGGGTATGCGTTGCGCGCGGTAGCTTTACGGGATAACTGAAAGTGCGCTTAGCGTCGCGATCATTATTTGAAGTACATTTTCAAAGGCGTGCACCACTATTGTTAGTGAAGCACCTGTCCCGCTCGGTTCGTTGAATTTGGCTCGTGCTGTACGTGTGTACGTGCGCGCGCATCGTGTCACGCGTACCAATACGATCCCGCACGAAGATACACGAATCGGAGGAGAAAGAGAATCATGTAAACAGCGCGAGTATGCGACCACATGTATGCACGATTACAGAGTGAATTAATGATAGGAAAAGATCTCTATAAAATCATAATACGTACGTGGAAATAATAAGATAAGAAATGATACGTGCCCGGAATTCGGGAATATCTCCCTCGATATTATTGCACATCAGATCCCGGGTTTACGTGCGCCAGTCCGTGTAACAACCGCGAAACAAATTATAATTACAAATGTAAAACACGGAATTCACAATTTTCCGTGCGAGATAAAATTATAGAACGAACTACGAAGAGCGCAACGCGCATGATGAATTTCCTCGTGTAAAGAGGAGGAATAAAAATGAATGAGAGAGAAAAGGATGCAAAAAAATAAAATGGCTTCGTAACCCCCGACTGTAAAATTTATTATACGATCTGTAACGAAAAACTGAAAAAGAAAAAAAAAAAAAGAAGACGAAAGAATAAGAGAATCGGTGAATCACGAGATAATTATTTTACAAGCACGGCCAGTATTTTTGTCGCTGCTATATTTGCGGTAGACTCATAACACGTTCACGAATAGAGAATCAAGAACAACGAGAAACGAATATTATATTACATAAATCCCGAGAGAAAATGATTGCCATGAGAAACGGTTTTTGCAACAGGCCCGTACCAAAGGCTATTTAAGTTATCGACGACGTGAATTATAGCCGCCGCGCTAAATTCTGAATTTAATCTTTTTTTGGAAATGTCGTATACATGTGTAATATTTGAAATCCTTAAACGTAAACAGTGCAATGTCAAGAGGTGACGCAATTTTCACGTTGCAAAAATAGACCATTCCGTCCGAAACAATTTTAATATAACACCGGGAAAAACTCATACATACATACGTGGTTGTGCTTGCCGAGCGAAAAATTGTAGAAAGATAACATGTTTATATTTGATGCCCGAATTGAGCGACGTTCGATATAAAACGTATCTCGTAGAAATTACAGCCAACGTTAAAATAAATGTTTTGTTATTTTTTTACGACTGTTGAATTACGCGCAGAAAAACCAGGGATACACGTACATATATGTACGTGTATTTGTTTGCCACAAGGACGGAGTATTATTTTAATCGCGATTCACGTATTATTTAAACCAACGCGCGGAATTAATAAATAGAACCGGCGATACATTTATTTATGCAGCTTGCTTTTAACAATTATTAAATTCAACTTGAAATTTGTATATGCTTTCTATTAAATTTAATTGAATTATTAAATTGTTTTCCATCGATTGTTTATTTAAACTGAATTACCAAATTTGAATATTTAATTATCCGTTACGCTATTTAAACACGATTTATAGACGGGATTAAACGAGCGCCGAGATTAAAATGAAACAAAAATTTATTATTAATATTACTGCATTAATATTCACTTATTTATATAAGCTCTGTGAAACATTAACATTATCTCAAAACATTACTTAGTTTACACGATAAGTATTCAATGTTGCATAATAACATCATTTCACCGTGCCTCACTTATCATACTCCAAATAGCTTCGCGTCGTATAAATATATAATTTTATTACGTCATAGACGCTCGAGTATAGGTCGCAGGGGGATGGGAATTTTCGTCGACGCACTGATTATTATTATGTCTGCCAGTGGCATTTTTTACAATTTATATTTCTCATTTCAGCAACAACGAGACGAAAAAGAAAAGAAGGGAAGAAAGAAACAGAAATTTCTATGAACGTTAAATAGCTCGCCAGGAAAACGCACTTTATTCGAAAGACCAGAGAGAATATTTTAAGTCGTTATACAGTGAACAAAGGCGACGAAAAACTGCAAAAGTTTGTTGTCTCCTTATTGCGAGAAAAAGACAATAGAGACCGCTTTACGTGTATTATGTACTCAGTTGAGTTACGATAACAAAAACGCTCATCGCTCGTGAGCCCTGATATAATAATTACCAACCGTGACTCGCGACCTCACATTATCGATTTAATTCTCAAATATATACTTTCAATTCGTCCACTAGCAATAAAGACAGCGAGCGAGTCAGTCAGTGTGTGAGATGGAGGGGGAACACGAGAATGAAAGGTGGGGGATGACAAAAAAAAAAAGAAAACTGAAAAAAAGATACGCGAGATACGTTAAAAATAACAAAATCTATTGCCAACAAATCAATAATAACGGATCAATCGTTGCTATATTTCAAGCGATGAATAAAATCAATTTTCATTATTTTAAATGAAATATAGAACGAGAGAGAGAGAGAGAGAGAGGAGAGAAGAAATTTCCATGGATAATAAAAATTGTAGAACTTCTTATTGGACTGTACATCCTTTCCACGAAACATTTCTAAATATATTTTTCTCACGGCAGCCAAATATACGATCTTAAAATTTCCTTTAAACAGACGACGCTCTATTTATCTATCGGTTATACCATAATATTTCATCCTAATAATAACGGACATACTTATCGATTCGATTCTCGGATGTGTGCACGAATAATGTTGTTGTCTTTTCTCTTACGATCCTTTTCTTTCAAGCGTTTTCATTTAATTTAGAAAACGTTTTTTTTTCGAAAAGAAAGAAAAAAAAACGAAAGAAAGCGACGGAAAAAAGACGAGAGCTAAACAATTCAGAGAAATATGTAATTTCTCATTAAATCGTTGTTAGGACAATGCGAGTCGAGGTGGCTGTGTTAAATCGGGTTAAGGCACATCTATAAATACCTCACTAACTGTGAGTGAGAGACATGAAAAAAAGAGCGAGAGAGAAAGAAGCACAGAGTGTATTGGTAGAAGCGTGAGAAAGAGAGAAAGAAAGAATACAAGGGACAAAGAGAGAGAAAGGGGGAGCGAGTGAGATATGTAAACGGAGAAGAACAGAGAGAAATAGTAAGCAAGTGTACGAATAAGCGAGAGAAAGAACAAGGAGAGTGGGGATGGAATAAGGGTGGAGGAGGGATAGAAAGGTAGGAGAAGGAAGAGGAGGGAGGCTAAGAAACGTGCGAGAGAGATGAAAGCAGAATCACAAAGTTGACACAGAGAAATGAAAATGAAACAGAGAAAGACGCCACAGTGATAACGGCGGAGGAGGGAAAGAGTTAATCAGTCCTTCTAATAGTGTGGCACATTGAAGATACACACAATTGCATTCGTTGCCAGATGTCTAAGTACACGATCGTCTCCCCTCCATTGACTACCCCTACCCCCACTCATCACCACGCTGTCACTTCTGCATTACGGACGAGCGAGAGCACATCGAGTGAATTCGACACAACGAACGGAGGGAAGAAAAAGATCGCAGGCGCGCGGAATCCGTACTAGCCAGGGAAGACCAATCATTTTTTTTTTTTTAATTATAAATTTTTCTCAAGTTATTACTGCTCACCTCTATCTTTTCCATTTCTTTGTTGCACGACTGTCACTTACTATTCCCACAGTCATCTAGGTTCCCTTGGCACACACACACTGACGGCACATAGTGCGATATATCACGAGCTACACAAACGCGATGTGCGTGTATCGAAACGATATAGGTTTGACGCGCGCGGACCAGCGACTCACGGTGCGGCGCACGCCGCTGTCCCATCAAGACTACTTTGTATTTACTCTAATTATGTGACGTCACGGATACACTGCTCGCCCCACCACTCGCCGCCGGAGGCGCCCGAGCTATGACGAGCGTGCTCGAGCGACGCCGAGGTCGAGTGAGCAACGCGCATGGCGCAGCCACCAGTCACCTGTCGTCTCTTCTCCTTCTTGTAGATCGCTTAGTGCAGTACATCGTGAAACGTTAGCAATTTTATACGCCGTGTGCCTCTTTCGCAGTTCGAGCTCCAGAACTCGTTGCCACGTATTTTTCTATCATGGCGATTTTATTCTACCACCAATTCGGATATCATCGCCCTTTAACAGACGTAAACGATGTGCGGATAAAGCTACACGGTCGATTTTTGTGCTCTAACCTTAACTCGACGTTATGAATTTGTGCTCCTGGTAATACTTTACACCTTCATCATGTTCAAGTTATGAAACTCAAAGAAACTTTTATGTTTGTGTATCTACGTCAAACGTTAATGTCCTGCAATCGATTCGGTTTCAAAATGAGAAACTTTTCCTAGGAATAATTCAATGTTCGACATTTATCTTGTAATGTACATTTACGGATTTTATTGTGGAATAGCTGATAGTGTGATAAGAGTGTCCTTTCTTAAAAAATGCAACTTGCATAATTATTTAATCATTGCATTAAAATAACGTGAAAGACACGATTTCGATTATTAAAGCATTAATAAACGATTGTGATTTATAAATTCTTTTAATCGTATCTAACGTAAGTGCTGTTACGTTTAATTGTTTCTTGTAAAAAGCGAGTGTTCAAATTAAAAGAATAACTAAAAATTGACGTTAAAAAAAAATTGAAAGCATTTTAGGAAAAAACCATAAAAGTGTGAAAAAAGAAAGAAACAATAAAAATGAACTTTAACGATTCGAGAGATTAAAACCGGACAACAAATAAAGTATTATAAGAATTTACTGTCTCGTAAGTTGATCAAATAGCTATCTATTCCGAACTTGACGAACACGGTCGATATAGACGGAGAAGTGTGTCGATAAAAGTGCATAATAAATTACACCACTGTTGATAAATCATATTTATTTGTTCTATTTATTACCCAAAGCTCATTTCCAACGTCCAGTTCTCATAAAATATCTCATGCATTGAAAATACTTGCCTTTATCGAACACACGAATTACAAAAATCAATGTCTACCTTTATAGTAGACGTGTTACATTTCCCAATCACTGCGCTTTATAGGTTAACTTCGCTTTTTTTATTCCGTACAATGAATAGACTTCCGATAATTTTGCATTCGCGATATAATTCTTTTTTTTTTTATTTATTCAACAATTTTTTTATAACTTTCATATGTTATATGACAGAGATTTAAGTAGTTGCTCCAGATAAAGATTTTGTTGTAGCGGAAGGCAACGTGCACGAGGAAGTATATAGGAATATATACACATACACACATATACATACATATAGATATATATAACATGTATATATATGTATATATCATATGTATTCCTATATATAATATAATATTTACAATAAGTGTAGAAGAAAGTTGTTTAGATGTCGAAAGACGGATTTTAGGCCTATTTCGCGACACATTGATTTGCATAGTGCTACGGTTAGCAAACTATAGATACAGGCTCGTATAAATTTAATTATATGGTGATTATTTCGTTGTTCTTCTTTTTTTTTTTATTTTTCCACTCGGATATCCTTCATGTCCTTCCGTTGCAATAATTTTATAAAAGCAAAATATCACTTTAAAACAAAACGATTGAATGAAAATTATTTTTGTAAATATGACAGCAAAGAAAATAATCGGAAAAAATTTTGTTCGAAACTGAGGCGCTATTAAAAACGTTACGAGATTAAATTTCTCGATTAGATAAAGAAAGATGAAAAATTTAAATGCAAATGCATCTTTTATTATTTTAAAAATTGTTTTCCAAAATTTATTTGTCGTCATCTCTTCTTATTTCTCTTAACAAGAATTTGAAATGTTTGAATTGAATTTGATTGGTTGGAACTTATGCAACGGAAAAACATGGCGTACGGCCATTACGAGAAATCAGTTTGTGCGAATTTTTTACACGTCACTAATCGCCGAAAATGTTTTAGCACCAGAACGATCAACTATCAAAACTATATTACGAATATAGATTTAAGTTTTACCTTAATTTGTAAAGAGTTGATATGGCTGAACAAACAGTAATACGATGAAGCTAAGAAATAGGTCCGCTAATTCAAAGTTCACTCTTCGATTTCGCATCGGCGTCTGTAAAAATTTTATGATTATACGTCAATATTCAATATTTATACATTATCTCGATTCTTTAATATGTAAATTTGAACAAGAACAGAATCTTACCGATGTTCTAGCACTAATTGGTGATTATATGACGGAAAAAATAACATTTTTATCACACTCGGAATTGTAATTGACACGGCGCGAATCGAACCGAAAATTGCACTGCGCATTAAACTTAAAATTGGAGGGAAATTCGTTCCGATGACAGCGCCACCAGTCACCTCCGCTATCTAGCACTAGATATAGGAACTACAATGACTTTTTTCTCTTGTGCCCAGAATCACATACACATGTAGTTATTCGAAATCTAGATTTACTTTGGATTAATCGAGATCTTTAAGATTCAGTGCCCTTTTCGTTCTGTGTTGTTCGATTCGAAAGTTCACATCTCTCGTAATAACCGTTTTTTAATCGTATCGACGAATTTTAATCGAGCTTGTTGTGCATGGTATTATATAAGAAAGTATACGAAATTACCGATTGTGACTTAGGTTATGGCTATTGTTGTAACTGAATGTGACAAAACGAACTTGACAGACTGTTTTTCGAAGCATCACGAGAAGGTACGTAGAGTTCTTTTCAGACACTGAACATATAAATACTGTGTCGCGTACGTTTAGACGACCAATTTCATCTTTCAATTTTGCATTCAATTTTGAACTCGTAATTATCTAAACTGGAATCGCGATACAATTTGTATATTTCGAGTGATATTATTTCTTTTTCAACGCGGTCAAAGTGTAACGTACGTGACATATTTTTATTATAAAGTGTTCTACACTCAGAGGACACTAATTTTTCCATCACGTTATAATAATTTTTCTTCGATGAATTTAAAGTAACTATATATGCAATTTTCAATGTACGTTTTGTACCGCGTCATTGCTGCCAATGTACGATAGTTTCGTTGGTCCTCCAAGAGTCAATAATTGAAACAATGCGAAATAACAAATTTATTCGCTATTTTAAGCACGTCGGTGACAAAATATCAATGGAATTGAAGGAGTTCCAGCATGTTCCATTAGCAACGATCAATTGTCTAAATCTAAATTTGTCGGTACTGTAACCAGAGCGTAACTGGAGTGAGGAAAATATCACAGCTGGCCCCCGGAAACGTCGAAAATCCAAATTAAGGGAGGGACATTGAGGGCTTTTGAGGAACTGCCCGGTCGTCCCAGCACCGACTTTCTTAAAATCTGTTCCTTTTTTTCTCTCTCTCTCTCTCTCACAAACGTGTTTGCTACGTCGAATATCGTTTAATAAAACGTACTTGTAAAATATAGAAAAAATGATACAAATAGTGACCATCTAGACTCTCGAAAAAGGATTTTCTCAGTAAGCGAGTCCGGGCTGATCGGGCTTCCTTTTTTGCGCGTATATTCATATTATATCATCATGTATATTCTGTAACTAATAGTAATATTAATTGTATGATCGCTATTAACTATTTATTATTATTATTATTATTATTATTATTTTTATTTTTATTATTATTATTATTATCATTGGCTCGCACGCTAGACCGATCGCTGTGCCGGCACGTTACGTTCATGATTTACATCGACCACTTTTGTATTGATAGAATTTATTCTGTCGCGAATAAACAAACATCAGAATACAATAGTTTCTCGAGGCCGTAAACCAGAGCTGCTAGGTTAGATGGATTAATTAAATACAGTTTCGTAAATGGGGCCATAGTGTCGCATGCACGGTGCATTTAGAAGCTTATATTGTAGATAAATTTTCGAACAAAATTTCTTTCAATACCTTGTTTCAATCTTGTCGAGCCAAAGTTGTTACTCCGTAATTCAATGTGCTTGAAATTTACTACGGTCGAGCGCACCGGCACAGTAATTGGCTTCTACTTGTATCAAGGAAAGCGTGTCGAGGTCGCACGAGGCTTCTGAATTTTTGTTCGAAACGCTACTTTATATAGGGAAATTATAATCACAGATTGATTCAGCGCGTAAATTTCTAAGCGGACGCGCGTTTTACGATTCATCACTCTGTTTCTTCGTCTTTTTTTCTATTTTTTTTTTTTTTCATTTGTAGGATTCATCGTTTAGACACGTGGGCTTTGTAATTCAAAGTCTATCATGGTTTTTGGTCGCTAAAGGATATTAGGTTCTTTGTGTTTTTTTTTTTTGCTCGTCAGTCGCTCTCAACTTTATACTCGTCAAATATTTAATTCAACAAGCAATCATCGAACTTGCACGCTACCCGATGCCCGATAAGAACACGTAAGTACTATTCCATCAAGGATACAAATATGTATTATCGGTTACAACGATCAGTCTGAAAACACGATCAAACGAGAGATTAATTTTTTCAGGTTATTTTCCAAATATATATTTCACGTAGATACACGATCCTTACAAATTTAATGTTAACCATTGGAAACAACGAATCCACCAAATACAACAGGTACAGATAGACTTTGAAAGAATCTAAACTTGGCGATTCAAAGAATACATCTAACTGTTTCCTGAGATCTTCACGACATACTTCAAGCAGTCTGATATGAGGAACCCGTACGTAGATCTTGTATCTACGTACTTTCGTACGCGAATTGAAGCCTCGCACGAACGCGGTGCCGTAAAATTTGTTAAATTTCTTAAAATAATTTCTTCTCTCTTCTTTTCTAGTGTCGTTCGCGTCGCTCGAGAGCTCTCCCTTACAAAGAACTACCATTTTAGGGTATATCATCAACGAATAATCTAAAATCATACCTATCGCAACTAATACTTTCAGTTGTTGTCGCTTTGATTCAGTCTGTTTGCAAAAGCTTTGAGAAATTTTTTAAAAAACCGTGGCTTATTTATGGTGCGTTTTTAAGTCAGCTTTTTGTAAGTACAAAGTGAAATTTTCAGCTGGCAACATTTGCTAATTTCTCTAGAATCAATCAATCTCCATCTTCTTCTGTTAATCTTGAAAGGAAGAGCGTATCCTCGAGTGAACAAGTCGACGTAAATCATGGACCTTTTATCGAATAATCGAACATGTAAGTTCTTAATTATTCCGCGTACTCAGCGTCCGTACCCCCGTCATCTTGATTGCTATCGTTCGCCGTTTCTTCAGCATTATCGGCAGATTGTTCTTCGGTATTTTCTTCGTTTCGAAGTTCGGTCATTTCTATTCTTTCTTCAATCTGCTCCTCCGACGGATTTTCGTCCTCTTCGGATCGTTTCTCAGGTTCATCAGTAATGGTGATCGTCTCCTCGTTTCTGAACGCGTCCACGATCTTCTGCTCGATGGTCAGCTGTCTAACAGCGTTCTCCAAGTTCTCTCGTAAAACTTGGCTCATCTTTGTTTCTTCGTCTTGCCACGTTGACGGCATGAATGTCATTCGCACGGTTTGGTACAGCTTCCTGAAGCCCAACTTTTTGTATAAACTCTGGCTGGCTTCATTTTCGGGACGTATGACGACAAAAGGTTGATATCCTCTTTCGGCGACTCTCTGCGTCAAATACCTACGATTTTGCTATTATGAATGGAAAAGTATCGTTGGTAAAAGACTTCTTCGAAGCTATCTGTTTTACGTTCGCTGCTACTAAATTTGTTTGAATTTGCATTCCTCTTTTTCTATCGAAAATATCACTAATTATTTATCCTTTAGTATATTATTTTAATCGCGACAATAGTATTACCTAAATACGTGTTAGTAGCAGAGAAAGTGTTAAACTGTTATCAAGCAGCCCAACTAAATATAACATGATCTCGATAGAAAATGAAATTTCCCTACCTTGCCAATTTTGTACCGTAGCCCTTTCTTCTGTATTCTGGTTTCGTCTGCATGGAGAACATCGCCCCGTAATAAGATTGAACCATCCACGCTGCCAGGCTTTCTTTCGCGAACACTCCTGCCGCTGGGAGGGTGCTGATCAGCCGCAAAAAGACCTCGTGACACTCCATATCGTTAGCAGGGTACAGTTCATAAATTCCTTCGGCGTGTTCTGCCTTCAATGGCCGAACTTGTATATCAGGGTCTTCGTTCGGTTCCTCGGCACTGTCTGCATTTTGAGGATTCTCACACATGAAGACATCTCCGACTACCCTCTCTATAGTCCCAGTTCCTTCGTAAAGGCGCATTAACTCTTCCGCAATGTCGTGATGTATGAAGTTGATGTACAGTGGCTTCGACCAGTCGATCAAAATGTCTTCGTTTCTCAATAACGTGAGCAGCTCCAGCCGATCGTTAGGACAAAAGACGCCCACACTCTCGAACATCAAACCGTGTGGCTGAAAGTCGATGAAGTGATTACGTTAAAGGAAAGATTGGTCTTCCGCCGGCGCTAAAACTGCGGAGAGAAGTTGTGAAAGGCTCTGCCCTCAGGCGCATGAATTATTTATCGCGCAGGTTTTTGTCGCCCGACGTTCAGATTTACTCTGCCCCGACTTTCGTAAACGCGAAATTCCATTTGAAATTTCCAATTCCACTCGGAAATTTTTTTTTAAACTTCGTTGCCCCCCCTCGGAGGAAGTTAGACGCCGTTTCAACACGAAAAATCGAACAAACACGGTGAGAAATGTCAAGGATCGCGTTTTTGATTTACGAAAGCTGGCAAATTTCAGAGAGGATGAGAGAGATTTAGCGGTAACGCGTTATGGAACGGACAAGATTGCGGACACGTTAATTAAGTAAAGAGCATCGAGCGAAATAAGAGGTAGATTAGAAGAGTGAGGTCAGGAAATGAACTGGCAAGGCTGTGAAACAAAAGATTGGCCGAAAGCCAAGCAAGGATCTGGGCCAACTCCTTTCTCCATCTCGATACATTTGGAAACAAGATGAATTTGCCGAAGATATACGTATATATATATTTTTTTTATTAGAATTCAGTTAGACCGTCAAATAATCTCTTTATAGAAATAATTGATAAATTATTATCAAGCAAAAATAGGAGATACAATGATGTTCGTGACAGAGTGATAAATTGTATCTCAGATATATATATATGTATATATATATATATGTATATATATTTTTTTTTTTCGCGTTTATTTGACGGAAATAAATTATACATGTTTACACTGCTGTTCAAAAGTATTGTGCACAGTCATCATTCTTGCAAACTCTGCAATATATAAATTATATTCTGAATTTTTTCCCGTATAAATACATATATGTTCTAGTAATATTAAATTGAACAATTTAATTGCTAAAATCTCTTCAAACAAAAAAGTTATATGACACGGTGGATACTGTTAAATATAAAGATCGTTGTCATGTTACACGGGTGTTCTGATAAGAACATTGTGCATATATAGATAAGAAGACAAGATAACTGTTGAGATATTTAATGAATTATTAATAAAATAGTTTCTTTAACATGGCACAAATTAAAATACACACAAAGGTCTCATTATTTCTTGTATAGGTAATACTCCACGTACTTTTAGATTTATCAGATGTATTTTATACTCACAGATAACGTCATTCCGGGGAAGTGTAAGCAGATTGCGTCGTCGGGCCAGTTATTAGCTACATAGAAATTAAAGTCCCATACTCTGTCTTGTATGTAGGTCAACAAAGTTTGATGGAACTGTAAAACAGAGACAACGATCACGTTAAAAGCTGAAAACAATCGGCGAAGGATTTATACTTTCTTCCATTGCCAACAGTTCCCCAACTGAATAACCACCGTGCCAAGTAAAGGGATAAAATGAGTAATCTTTTTGTGCAGCCAGTAGCCAGTTACAAAGCTACGGGTCCGCGAAGAAACAGTTGGAAATCTTTTCATCTCGCGGAAGAATTAAGAGAGTACAAGCTCTTGGGGTAGTTAAAGGAAGGGTTTCTTTCTCGCGGTGCGCATTGGCTAAAGGCAACATCTGAGATGAAAAGGTGGATATTTACGAGGAAGCTGCAGGATAAAGAGTAATCTAGCCAAGGGCGACGCTTCAGACGTTGCCTTTTAAAATAAAAACTACCACGTGCGATCTTTGATACTTTCGTCCCTAAAGCATTCTCTACTTTCTTCGTCAAGTATTACAATGATTTCCAGTGGAAAAGAAGTCCTCCGTGAGTTTCATTTGTTCGATCACTTCTGCCATCACCGATACATACATTGAAACCAAAAAAGATACTGCTATGGACGATAATTACCAACAAACGCAACAGACGACCGCTTAAAATTCTGGAAGAATTTTATCGATTGGAAAATATACGTATGTTGAATGCAGTTTACGTGGTACATGATGTGAGCTACTAACTCGATAAGAACCTCTTGGTTGAAAGTAAGTAAATAATCGACAATACTGCAGAACATTATAGCGTGTCCCAGATTTTACCATTGCATGAGATAAAGTATCATACGAACGAATATCATACACTACGGTGAACAAAACACTAGCGATTCCGCACGTGAATTCTATTCTGAAGTCTAATACAACCCGGCAGCAGCACATAGTACAACGCGTGTTTTATTTTATCATGCACGTTTTATCCGTTATATTACATTTTACACTTTTCGTCAAGGGAATTCGCACGAGAATTTTAACATTCTTAATCGGATAAAAAGGGCAAGCAAATTTCCCGCGTCTTCTTTTCTCTGAAGAAAAAAAAAAAGGAACGATACGCGCTTTGCTTGTACGTGAAATATAGTTCCGCGGGCACGGATGTCGCGTAATAAAATGTTTCACATGCGCCACACGTGATGTATAACCAACGTAAATTTACATATCACTGGCTCGAATCTCGTAAAGAGCCGGGAGAGATGATGCAAATGAGAAAGTTGTAGGAATTGTCTCGATTCGTTTGGTGTCTTTCAAGTGAAAACGCTTCGCGTCGTGTAAAAAGAATTAATTCCAACGAAGAAGTTGAATTTGCGGTATTCAGTAGAATGTGAAAACACGAATTTGTTCCATTCACATCTAATTTCATCTAACCAGGCCTAAAAAATTATTCCACTGATGAAGCTTCCTTGTCATTCCCTTTCTAAACTTCCATCTTTTATTACATGCTGGCAAAAGTGAAACGAAAGAACTTTGTTTAGCTTGTCAAGACTCTGAAAAGTCCAGTTTAATGATACCGGCGCAGGCTTGAAATTACTCGCGAGTTAGAAGTCATGCAACCTAATTTACTCGCTTTGGGGGTTAATAATAGAACAGCACGTAAACCTGACGGCGGATAAACGGGAGCCTAACTGTATTTTTCCCTTAACGAATAAACTCACAACCATCGCTTCGCATCGCACATTTTGCTTTAATAGAAAGCAGAATGCAATCTCGACGGAGATTCTTCGTTACTCTGTCCAACCAGTTGTACTTGTCTTTCAGCGGCCGTGCCTGTATTATACGCGAGAGAAAAGAAAAGGAATGGCTGTATGTACCTATGTACAAATTAAGTATAGTTGTCTTATCGCATCGCTACTTGCCACCGTTGCAAACGATCTTCCTTAAACCGAACCGAGTGCGTGTAAACGAGGGAAGATGAAGTATGTCGGGCCTGGAGTTTCTCTCGCTTCGTCCGCTTGTCACAGAGACAAAAGAAGAAAGACGGGATTTGAAAAGTAGTCCGTCAAAGCTACTCGTTATCGAGCCACTTCGAGACAGAGCTGTCGTTACTCACTGAGGATCGTGACGTGTTGCAAGCGTGCAAGAAGCATCGATTCAAATGCGGATTCGAAAAAGTCATACGGCATCGCGTGTTCACGCTTGGACACGGCCTTGACCTTGCCTTTTTGTTGGTTGGCACAGTTTTATTCGAGGATAAATGACGCGACTAGTATGCGCCATCGTTTCATGCTGGCCAAGCATTATAGCGCGCAACTTCCGAATTGCGCAAATTGTTAATGCGATGACGGGATGATAATTTCGAAGAACTATTCTTTGAGAACTTTAAACTAAACTTTAATGATTAAAGGAGCTAATAATAGATTAGAACAGCAGGCTGGGTATGATCAAATTTTTATTATAAAACTTGACCATCAAATAGTATCGTTGGGTCGTTGATGACTGTAGTAATTTATGTTAGATCACAAATTTAAGACGTTTGATCTTATTTTATATTTTATACATTCTCTGCGATTGATTTTAAATCTACGTAATTTAATTGTAAATTACAGTTCCCAATTAGTTAATCCATCCGTTGGAAAGAATGTTATAAAAATTGCCTTTCAATCTCCTTGTTTGGGATAAACGAGTGCGCGAGTACAGCGACGAGTACGCGACGCACATTGCGAATTCACAAACGTTATGTCAGACGAGAGAGTCTTCGCGATCGCAGATAAGAAATCGACGATCCTCCCGATAACGTTGAACGCTTACGACATCGAAATTCCAACGGAATGTCGCAAGAACGAATCTCTTTGTCGATATCGCGATAAGATTGCAAGATCGACACCGTGCGTTGATCATGGGAACTCAACCTTGGCCTTGACTCCGCTGCACCTTGCACATCGGTACCGGAATTGAGGTGGCGTGGCCAGTAGTCGTAACACCGGCAGTCTCGCCAGCCGTCGACGAGCAACAAACAAAGCTCTTTTTAGATCGATAACTCGCTGGCTCGAGAGTGAAAGGCGAAAGAGAAAGAGATGAATCGACGCAACGCCGACAGAGTTCCTTTGCAATTCACCATTTTCTGCTCACCTTCAAATATTTGGAGATTGTCTGTCGACGAAAAGGGCACACGTGTAACATGTAATTCCGACTTGATTACTTTTCCTATTGATCTAGTACTCAAATGTTCAGATAAAAAATCGTCATTTACTTCTGCCATAGGTATCCAGTGTTTTGAATGTGTGTGTGAAGAAAGTACTGAAACCGCAACGTAAATACATATGGATATATTTATTATACAATTATATCATCTATGTGAAGCTCCAGTAACGAGAAATCGCGATTTATGTATTATCTTTTAGAAAAAAGTTCGAAATGGGAACATTGCAAAAAAGGAAGAAGAGAAAGAATTATTTGTTGTACATCAAAATGATATTGATGGATAAAAGGTATGTAATTAAAATTTTATTACATTTAAATGAAATCACAATGAAATTATTTCTATCAATTGTCACACTCTAAGTATCATGTATATTTTTCGTTAATTATTTTCATATACGTATGTCAAAGAGAAATAATAAAAATCCACGTGATCCAGCGTTGAAGGGTACCGTGAATAGAAAAGGAGAGTGATTAAACTAGGTTCCCTCGAGGAATAGTAGTCAGCACTTGAAACGAAGCATTTAATGTGAACACACCAAAATGAAAGAGGGAAATGAAAAAATATGATCAGGCACAATGAAAGCGAACTATATATAGTAATACTGACAATAAGGAACAAAATGTGGAATGCAACAAGAATGAACGAAAAGGAAACGTCAAAATCAGGAAGATTAGCTGAGATGCCGATTACACTTGATAAGACTGATAATACAGATGATACTGATATCACTGAAGCTGGTCTCTCCGATTCGTCGTGTATATCGATCGCTACTGTGACGTCACACCGACGTCAGCCGAATGAATTCGGTAGAGATCGGCTTCAAGACTTCCGATGCCCTGAGGCCTCGGCGCATAACTTGCCGATTTCGTAGGTCGCTACAATGCCGCGACAACGTGCGCAGGAAGCAATTTACAAGCGGAGATAGTATCGTAAATAACTTATAACGGTAATTAATATTGTACTGTAAAAAATAATATTTATACTATTTATTCTTTTAATTATCGACAACATAGGTATTGAATTAAACTCTTTGACTTGTAAGAGATTATTCACGAAATGCTGATATGTTAAAACAGTCTATTTCATGAAGGTGCTTTGATAATACTTTACGTTAAATAAATAATGATCGATTATTATGAATATCGGTTAATATCAACCAACGATACAAAATATCATGTTATTGGCATGTAACGATTGTTGTTATCTACACCATCTGTTCAAAAATCTTAGAAAAATTGCAGAAATAATATTTCTTTTTTCTATGTTATACTGTTAATATACTAACGATTTTATTGAATCGACGACTATAATTCGAAATTCATAATTTACAGCATTTGCAAGTTTTGTCTCTTGAAATTTCTTGAAACAGCATAAAAACAAACTGTAGTAGATCTTTCGATGATGGAGTGACAATAGAAGCGATAAGAAATATCAGTTTTATAGATGACTAAACACGATGAGTATATATGTACATACATGCATACATACATACATATATAGTAAGGAACACGATGACACATTTTACAATTCCGTAATCAGTGTACACGGGGTTGGTCTATCGAAACGTGTCGACAATGAGAGATTGTAGCCTCGATCCTTATTATATTATATTAATACGTGCCTAAAACTTTCTATGCACCGTTTAGATACAAAATCACATCGCCTTGTTCGCGCCGTTTTACGACGCCGCATGCAAATATCCCAGCGAGAATATCGCCGCTGCACAAAACGACCTGTACCAGTTACGACCTTGACACTAACCTAGCACAACGGCCGAGCATTTATGCCAGGTTACGGCGGAAATACTATGCAAGGATCTCTTCCTTTACGCCAGTAATCTTATCCTGTCGATCCGCGCCGCCTCTTCCCTCAGGAATCCTGCGGATATCCTCCCCCTATCGTTCGTCAAATTTCCTCTTTTCCTATGTATATGTATATGGCTCCTTCTTTCAATATTCAATATTTTTATTTTCTTTTATTGTCTAAGTTTCTTTTCCTTTTTTTTTTTAAGCAAATTTTTATTTTTCGTAAAGAACTACCTGGCTCTTAGAAATCTCAATATCTGTCGCACAATAGATACTTGAGAATTCAAATTATTTCACTCGAGAGCCTGAGAAAATGTTAAATATTTCAGTTGCTTCTATAACACAGCAAAGACAAATATTTTATAATTTTTTACGAACTTTTCAGGAACCTAAAGACGTTTCGTACGTGTATAAAGAAACCCAGCTCGTCCATGGAAGATACATACGTGTACTCACGAAGAATTAAATCAACGTTCATTCTTCGAACTGATCGTGTCCCAAGCTTAGGAAGCTTAGAAAGCTAACGTGGACATTTTCCAAGGCCTTTAGGTTGCCAAACGATAATTTAAAGATGGCAAATGCGTGCAGGTACTGGCCTTCGTTCACACCAAGTTCCTTTTGGGTTGTTTTATCGCGTCGCAGTGAATTCCAAGGACCTTAACCTTGCGATATTAATCGTGGCGTGCATTCTCCGCGCGTAAATTTACGTGTCGCTTTTCTTACTGCAGCGTGGATTTACGTGTTCACCTAACCTGCATTTCAAACCAAGTCCAAGGTCTCGCCTGATCTCACCGCGTGATTTAGAACCGCGTTTTTCGAGCGGAAGACATCGCGAACCCACTTAATTAAATTTTTCGTTCGTAAAAATCACCCTGCGAGCATCGTAAATTAACCACCTTTTCACGTATTCGCATTAAAGCTGCAAAAGATGCGGTAATTTGCAGAGAACCGTCGTAATTATGCGAACGCCGGAATAAATTATTCGAAACCGGTTATTTTGTTTCTCGAAACGTAAACCGCGCTCGATACTGATCGCTGGAATTATTATTAGTCGAAAACATTGGCATTGGAGGGAAACGGGGGAATATTTTGCAAACTGGGGGAAAACTAATTTGCTCATGTAACGTAACAAATGAAATTTTTCCCGCGTGATGCGGCGTCATTTCTCATTCGTTGAATTTTGCGCAAAAAGTATATCGTTAATTGCGACGAAATTTAATTAATTATATATGTAGTTTTTAACTGTTTTAAATTAACGAAAGAAAAAGAAAAAATACCACGAAAATAGAAAAATCTATAATTTCAGTAACTTATAATACAAGCTCAAAACAAATTACACTCCTGTGGTTTTCCAGGATTTCCTGAAGTTTTTTTGTGTAAACACAAGCCGAGCAAATTTAAAAGGAAATGGCACGCACCTTTAAGGATTCGGGCAAGTAGCCAGTAAGGAAGTCCAAGAGTTGAAACAGCTCTTTCTCAGCGAGCAGACGAAAGTTCCGGCCTCGTTCCGTCGCTTCAGGGCACTCCATGCTGAAACTAATTACCAAGAGATGATTGTGTAAGTGGCACGAACTTTCGAACCCTAGTCGGTCTTCACCGCCCATAAAACGTCAGGCTCTATGTGCCCACTCATAACATGATCAACGATAATATTCGCATAACCTCGAGTGACTTTCGAGCTAATTTATATTGAATGATTTGTTTAAAAAATCGCGAGATTTTGCGACATTGTCTTTAATGCAAAACGAGTCATAACAGCAAAAAAAACGGAAGTTAAACATTATCAGTTGAAGATCTATTCCTAATGAATTACACGAATTAACTAACACAATTATACGCAATTTTATAATTGAGCAAACATTGTAGTTTTCCACGAATAATAATTGATACATCGTACAAACGAATAAGAGATAAATGGTTCTATAATTAGCATTAAAGAGGTTGACTCTCGTTTCTATGTTCATTTACATATGTTTATCGATAGATCCTTTTACGCGATTATGTAACTACTTTTGAATTTTAAAACCAACATGAGTGCATAATCAATGTCTTTTAATTTTTAATTTACCGTGACAAACAAAGTGTATCTAGATGCTTATCATCATTCGTATTAATTCTTATAATCCTTCGTATTCATTACAAAATTATATAGGAACATTAATTAAGCCTTATCGGTGAGCACAGAATTTGCCGAAGTTTAAAAATAGTAGAAACTTTCAAGTTTAATGAATATTTAGATTTATTCAAACATTCTGAACATTGGGTTTCAGAAAACAAATTCTTGTGAGAGGAGAATTTCAGAAGAATTCAAGGACAAACAAATTTCTCATGAGATACTTAAGGAGAATTTAATTTAACTTCTAAAGAAAGAATTCAAAAAGAATTTAATATTTCTCCAGCTGGGCAGGCTAAAGTTTAAAATATTCAACACTCAAGGCCTTGAAATTATACAGAATATACAGATAATGAATCACACAGAATATAGAACATATGGTAATTTAAATCTTTGTCTATATCTACAGTGATTGGATTAGACTAAATCTTATTATCTTTTCAAGTGTCGACAGTGTACACCTTTGCTTATGCCTGCTTTGCCAACAAAGTCGACGTAAATATAATCTCTATATTTTTCATTTTTTTTTTTTTTTATTAACCGAGAATAGCGACCTTCGACTTAGCGTGATACATCACAGCGGATGGTATTGCGATAAATAACATAACAAGAAAATGACGATGTTTGAAATTAAGATAAGTTATCTGTCTCCTTAAATTTCAGCGAGCGATTTATTTTATCGATGAAAAATTACCGAACTCATTAAATTTTACCGTTAAACGAATGAACGTTCGATTTTTTAACTTCTGTCAACGAGTGCTGATAAATTCATCGTACCGTGAAAGTACTTCACACGGAATGTGAAGGTATATTGAATTTATGAAAAACGAACTATTAAAATTGCCAACCGCGTGGCCGAGCCTTTATCGTGGTGAAGATTAATTGCTGTAATCGATGAACCGGAAACACATATGGACAATATCGATTAGCCACATGTATAAACATAAGGCACTATATCGGAAAATCGAACGAAAACGTTGAATTTTTATCGAGCTTTATATCTTATACAAACAAACTCGTTGTTATCGATCAATTTTTTCCTCGGCGTAAAATTCAATTTACTCGATCTCTTGTCCCTTCATAAATCGATAGAATTTTATGAACGTCAAATTCCGCGACGTTGTGTCAATTTGTATTTTTCATAGCGTGAAATTTAACGACTCTCATGAAATGTTTGAAAAACACGCTCTCGTTGAAGAAAGTAATATAATAATATTTATCACGCAATTAAACCGTACTACTGATAATGAAACGTTTTGAAAGATGATCTCGCCGATGAGAGTCAAATAAAGTGTAGGCAAAGAAAAATCCAACGAAATCCAAATAGGATTGTCTCTCGTAACCCATAAAATCCCGGATGAGTAAAACTCTTGCTAATTTTGAGCTCTTCGTACTTTATTTCTTATCTCCATCGAAAAGAGAATATCTTTACTCTTGCTAATTTATCACCGTATTTAACTCTATACTCTTCGCCGCATGCCTATGCAATCAGCCACCAATTGTTTTTCTAGTGAAATTAAACACGTATCGTTCGAACGCCAATTCGCTCAGTAGTATCGTTCTCTCATGTCAGTCACGGAAATTTGATTAACCTTTGATTAAAAACGAGGGTATCTCTGAGACATGGCACGTTCCAGGCTGCGTTGAGGAATTTTTACTTTATTGACAAGTAACTAACTGCATACCTACTACTTATAGGTATTTCCTGCGGTATAATCTCACCAGTGTCACGGCGATGTCACAACAGAAAGCACTGTACGATCGGAATCGTCGAACAATTCGGTGCAACAAATAAGCTGCCAAAGATCACGCTACCGCCAAAAGATCGTTTCTAGATGATTCGTCATTGGTAATAACGCCGGTTTATCGTGTATCGGCTGTGTAATGAAGCACTTATTATTACGTTACGTGCACGATTTACCTGAATAAGCCGCGTGATCCTTGTTCCAGGATACCGTGGAAGAATCACCGCGATCGACGGACGTTCGATTGTCGAATAGAATGGGAAAATTACGCGACGTAAGATCGGCCGGAGGTGAGAATGGCTGCGGGCTGTTGTCAAGGGGTAGTTCCAACGGAGGCACCCGCCCTCGCCGCCCCCTGAACCCGCACTGCCGCCCCTGGGTCACCGTTACCCTCCTTGCACCGAACGTCGTCATGCTGCTGCCTGCGCAGGCGCCCTTTTCGCTCAATGACGTATCGTTCCCCTCTAGTACCCCCGCGCTGCGTAATCTTTGATTCAGTCCAGTTGAAGAATCCTTGATTAAATCTGTGTAAAATAGTCTAATTTGAAAAAAATTTACCTAATAATCACGATTACAACAGTAGATACAAAAGAAGTATTTCGTATTGGATGACGAGGATGGAATTATTTATTGAACACTAGATGGTAGCTGTTATTATTCAGATTGAATATTGTTTGCTAGTATAATTATCGCAATGCTTGGAGTGAACAATTGAAAGAAAAAGAAAAAAACGTGAGCTACGCGTGAGGCGCAATTTGAAACACGTGGAAATCGATGTTTCTGCAATTGTATTTCTATGTTTGTTAAGTTATTTCTTGTCGTTAGAGAAATGTATCTTTTTTTTTTTTTTTTTTTGTTGGACTCATCTCTTTTACACAAAGCTCGTAACCCTTCGAACGCTGTGTTTTAGTCGAGGTTACTGATGCAATGTGCTTACCGCTCTGATAATGCTCTTTAGGCACGTAATCGCTCTATGTTACACGATGTTGTGAATTAGGAAACCGTTCATGAAACAAACAATTATTTAAGGTCAATTATATTCGTGTTTACTCCTTTATTTACAGTTAATTAATTTTTATAACAAAAACATATGCATATATTTATTTTTGAAACTCACACATGAAACTCGCCCTTGTTTACAATATGATTTACATGCGATGACAAATGTAGATGAATGAACGAATGTAAATGAAAAAATTACGAGGCAACATTCATTTAATAAAATGTCACAACATTATTGCGCTCATTCGAACCTTTGTTGTCGTACGGTACTGCGTCGAACGTCGTGGCGCAGAAAAGCACAGCTTCCACCGCCTCTTCATTTTCGCAGATCGATCCAACCCACTGACAAGCGTAATCGAAAATCTCGAGGTTAAAGTTACCTACGCTGGTGATGCGTGTGAAATATTAGAAAGAAATCTGAACGTGAACATATTTCAGTTCTTCGTGCGACAAATTCTTCATCGAGTGTGTATTTCCTACTAGGAGACAGTAAATTCTTTCGCAAGAATCTAGCCTCTGTAACATGTGAGACCAAAGATCAGGCAATAATGGTCGTATACAACTTCATCTACTCGTTTGCATAATTATTAGATCTTAGATAGTTATCCAAGCATTTTAAGAGACTGTAGAACCTCTTGAATTTTGTATCAGTAGAAAGTGTAACACGAATTTTGGGGAAATTAGTTCGTTTCATTTTATGTCGAGGAATATGTCGTTGAAAAGATCCATTAAAGTGAACTTGAAACATGATATTTTTGTCCAGAGGATCGTACAACCTTGTCTTTATCGATAGCAAAGCGGATGAAGGGAAAAGAATTGGATATTTTCAACGCGAATATAAGTGTGTAATTGTTGATTGATATGTGGACAAGCTGGTTTGGCGCAGGTACTTCCCATTTTCTGATAACAATATCTCTTTAGTTTTTTAATACTAGAGATAGTTAAATCGGGTATTTAAATATTCCCTCGGAATCTGGTTATTCCCTTCTTTTAACAAACGCGCATGCGTCTTAAACATGACGCGCGTTATCAAATATTAACCTAAGTCTTTCTTTAACGAATATAACGAACGAAAATTAAATTATTTCCTACATTATTTTTGATGAAATCAGTCAATTAAAAGTTAAGTATCGCAAATTATTGATAAATTGTGCAAATTATAAAAGAGAATAAAATATTTACTACTCCATGTTAAATTGATGCATTTGACTAGTATATGAGTATTTAGTGTGGTTACTATAATAGTATAATTATTTGTTATTTATTTATTAATTTAGTACGGTTACTAATATACACTAATAATCAAGATATAAACCTATTTTTTGAAATTAATTTCATTTTATTTACATAAAAAATGAAAATTAGGATATTATGAAACTGTGTAATTAAAAGAAAGTTTATACCTAAAATGTAATGCATTTTATCCATTTTTACAGATTACATTCACAAAGTGAGTATGTCCAGAAGGAAACCTGGTGGTGACAGACAATTCAACAACGTGGATTATACACAGCTTACAGAAACTGACAATGGCTTTGTTGATTCTCAGGTTAGATATTACTACGCTTTACATACAACACTTCATAGCAGCATGAATGTATTTTGTTAAAGTCAAATCAAAATGTTATGCAATTAAGTTGAAAATAGACAAATATTGATAATAAAATATATTTATTTTTAACAGTTCGTGAATCCACCTGTAAAAATACCATGGAAAGCAATTACATTAGCTGCTCTTCTTTTTGTTGGAGGTACTATTATGCTCATCACAGGTAGTTTAATTGTGAGTGGACATATCGATTCAAAGGTAAGATATTTTAAAAACATCTTTTTATTAGATTATTATTATATTTACATCTTATCAGGTATTTAATAATTAAGAAAAAGATTATTTCTATTTTACTTTCTAAATGCATTATTTATAATAATAATTTCATAATAATTTAACATACTATGAATTTAACAATTACTTCATCTTTTACAGTATTCAGATCGTATGTGGCCAGTTATTGTTTTAGGAATTCTAATGTTTATACCAGGTGCTTATCATATGAGAGTAGCTATTTTAGCCTATCAAAAGGTGCCAGGCTATTCATTTGATGATATACCAGAGTTTGATTAATGAAACAAAACTTTTTTACTAAATAGTTGAAGATTCTACATTATTATTGATATATTAGGTATTTAATTTATATGAATCTGTTTTATATAAATTGTACATATCTTTTTCTTTAAGCATGTAAGTATTTATAATTCATATGACAGTATAATTTGGCATTGTACTTATATGTTAATTTTATGCAAGTATTGGATTTAATATTGTGCAAAGCACATAACTACTATTGAAAATATCAAAATTGATAACATTATAACTACAATATATGTTATTTTTGTATTATCAAAAAGGAAAACATAAATTTGCATCTGTACATATTTTATTTTTGCATAATTACTAATGATCTAATGTGGATTTATCATATAATCTTTCAAAATGTAGTCAACTTAAAAATACTAAAGCTATTTTAAAATTTGTAATAAATTATTCATGAAACAATTGTCATGAAAATTAGAAATACATAACATATATAAAATAATTAACCTCTATATCGAATCAGCTTAGAAAAAAATCTAAAAAATATTAATCTAAAATTATCCAACATATTGTTTTTATTGTTTTTGATTAAATTAAATATCCGTTTGATAAAGCGTTTCATATAAACAAAAATATAGAATCAAATTATGTTTAGTGTTTAGTGTCACTGTTTAGCCTTATGCTTCAAGTAATTTAAGACACTTAAAGTATTTAACTTACATATTTTATCTGTCTTTCTTTTTGCCATTAAAATTGGTGGATTAAATTGTTTTTTTAATACATTTTTCATTAAAATTTTACTTTTGGCAATCTTATGTTGATACATTCTCTTATTATGAGTATATTTCTTATGTAAAGGAACATTCTATAAAGAATTGAAGTTCATTTATAAAATTACTGATTTAACATAATGAACTTTGTATTAAGTATAACTTACCTCAAAATTAAGATAAATAGAAAAATCGTTTTGCTTAATATGATCAATTCCATATCCAATATGTAATGAAAGTTGTTCTATTGAATCGAGTACTGCAAGATACATTTCTTCTTTTGTCCAATCGGTATTTATAATGAGATGTATTGTTGGGCACAACTGATCTCAAAGAATGATAAATATATGTATTGATACAAATATTATGAATAAAGAATTATAATTTTATTTTTTTTAATATAAAAATGCCTCTATTTGTTGGTACCTGTATTCTAGAATATATTCCTAATCCAATTCCAGTTTGGTATAAGCGTTTTGTTAAAGCCATATCAATATGAATTAGTGTAGCAATCAATGCACGATATGTAATAGTATTTGGTATAAAATTATAATTAATAATTAATTTTGCAATGTGTATAATTAAAAAATAATTTTTTTCGGACAGAAGCATTGGCACTGCTTTATTTACAAAATTCGTAATGTCTAAAAAGGATAGTATAAATTTAAAAGATTTTATTTGTTTCTTAGTTATGATTAATGTTCATCTTACCTATTGGGTAAAAATTGCTATATTGATCTACAACTAAAAATTGAAAAAGGTAAAAAGCATATTCTAAAAATGTTTCACAGAGTGCATTTAATAAAATGGTTATTATTTGTACTCTAATAGATATATCTTTTGCAGTATAATGTACCTTCCACTTATGAGGATCAGTGTAAATGATATTAGTTTCTGAAAAGAATAAGTTACATGAAAATAATCATAATTATTTGTATATATTTATAATTATTTGTTTATATATTATGTTGTACATATTAGAAAATACATTGATAAAATTTAATTTTTAACTTACGTTTAAGTAAGAAAAAAGCTTTTATAGCTAGATGATTTGCTAAGTATATCTCAGCAATGAGCATAATAGTTGCAGCATCAATCTTATGGAAATACATTTGTGTGATATTAATATCTTCCAGTAATATATTTGCTAATACCCACAAATTTTTCTCAGCTAAAGTAACCAAAGCATATTTGACAGTATCAAATAATATTTGATAACACGTAGCAGTCACTCCAGTTCTGACTATAATATTTAAAAAAGATAAAATACATTTAGAAGTATTTTTTAATACTAAGTAAATATTAACATTTGATCGTACTTCGTTTTATTTATTTAAATATTTGTATACAAATAGTTTTCTAAAGTAATATTTATTATATTATAACTTAAAAACAATTAATTAATTATTATAATGATCTATAGTAAAGATAAAAAAATCACATATAATGATTTTTAGTTTATTTAAATAATGGATAATACATAATTATTCACTTAAAATAATATAAAACATTTACATAAAATATAATGTTTATATGTTCGTTATAATTCTATTATGCCAAACATATTATGCTGGTTGAAATATAAAATAATACCTGAATGTAAAATGAGCTTCTTGAAATGATAATGGGAATATCTTATTTCATTGCATAAAATTTGGTAAGTGGCCCGAGTAAAGAAAGTTTGTTGTTCTTCCTTCACTGAATTAAGAATATTCATAACATAATCATAATCATTACGTTTAAGTCCCTCATGAAGCTTGTGAACATCTATATAGAATTTCCAAAATCTTATTCTGGCAGATTGCGGTTTTGCTAAGTTATCTAAATATTACATGGGATATAAACATATATGCTACCAAAAAAATTATACTAATTTTATATTGATAGCGATAATAGCGATTTCGTAAACAGAAATGTTATTTTATAATAGCGATAATAGTGATTTCGTAAACAGAAATGTTATTTTTTATTTACCTATTAAATGCAGTTTAAAAGATGAATTTTCATTTATTCTCTCAACTGTTTCTGTCGTATTAAGTATATTCATACGTTCATCCATCTCTAATTCATTTATCATACAACATGAATCTGGTGAAGAAATACCATTATCTTTCACTTGCTTATTTTTATCTACCTTTTGAGTTTTTTCTTTAATCAAGTTTTTAAAGGATAACAGTACATCGTTATTTATTTTACAACGAACTTGATGGGTTAATTTACGCATAATATTGAAATTTACTTCTTCAATATGTGTACGGGTAATTATACATTCTTGTAAAATAGTTTCTACAATTTTTGGATCCAAATTTTCTATTCGAAGCAACAAATTTTTCAATGTATTCCAATATTCACCATACATAATATACTCTTTTGAACACAACTGTTTTAAAACACAATTTACGAATTCAAAATCGCTATTGTTTACAATGATTGATATTTCATGAGTAATTACTTTGATAGAATATCTTTGTTTCAAATAATCAATAGTATAGAAAACTGTATCACCATTAACAGCTTTTAACTTATATAATTTTTTCAATATTTTTAATATACACTGGATGTCATATTGAGAATAAACAGGTAGCGCTTGTAAATAGAAGTTTCGTACAAACTCTGTAAAATTATTAAATACTAATTCGTCTAGTATTTTAAAAAAATATTCTTCTTTATGACTATACCAATTAATCATAGTTGGTATAAACTGCAAAATGAAAATAAGTAAAATATACAAATACACTGACACTTACAATTAGAAAGAAAGTATAAAAAAACTAAAGGATTGTAACTATATACATACGTCATGTCTAAAACGACAATCGTTTCTAAGACATTTGTTATACATTATTGTGTAATAACAAAAGCCATGAAAAATAGATTTAAATGCATTGATATTGCGCGATGTGGCAATTTGTGGATTTTGTAAAGATTTTTGGAGTACAGTATTATATTTTTGATCTGAAGTAACATTATTTTCATTGTTATTATCGTCATTATTGTTATAAAATTTATTAAAATCAGATGTAGTATTTTTGTAATAATTTTCAATTACATTATCAGTCATTTGAAATGATTTTTCACTATTATCATCTAGATACGTATTGTACCTAGAAAAAAGATCATGTTAAAAAATAAAATAATTAATAACATAAATGATATTTTTCAAATTAATTATTATTATTTCAAAAGTCATTACTCTTGCATGAGAGTTGAATCTGCAAACAAAGATAAACAATCACTATCTTCTGCTTCTTCTTTATTCAAATTTTCTTTATCTACAAGAAATTGATTTTTCATTAATGATCCATTCATTTCTGACACAGTTGATTCACATAATTGTACATTCTGGAGAGAATCACAAACTTTTTCATTAATGATTCTACAAGTTTTAATTTCATGTTTTTCTTCTTTTAGATATTTTGAAGTGTTTTCCACATTTTCATTGTATGATATACTTCCAAAATTTCTATTTAATTTTCTTTTTTTTACGTTATTATTATTATCATCATTCTGATCAGTAACTATACATTTTTTATTTGTTAAATCCGTATTTTTATATGAATTTTTCTTTGCAGTATGTGTTATATCATCTTTTTCTTCTATGATCTTTGGTGAAGTAATAGTATGTAAAAACACAATGTTTTTATTTTCACTACATTCATTGAGAAATAGATTATCTTTGCTTAGATTCTGTATAGTTTCTAAATCAACTACTTCTATTATTCTGTCATAATTAATATCTTTATTAGAATTTTTAACTTTTTTTTGCAAATCCATTTTTAATAAACTCTCAGAATTCAAATTCTTTTTCTGTGAATTTGACAGATTATTTATAAAATCATAACTGTTAGATATATTATTTTGTATTGATTGTTCTAATACAAAATTTTGTTTCTCGTTGGCCAGAAGAATTTGATTTGAACTTTTATCACTGACCTTTTCTAAACAAATTTTGAATCTTTTATCATTCTGCCCTGCTTTAATTATTGTATCTACTGACATGATTTATATGAAATATAAATAAAATTTTTAAAAAATGAATAAAAAAAGAAATGTAACATAAAAAGCAATTATAATACTTACTACGCTCTTTTTCCCAAGAAATATTCTCATCTGCAATTTTCGTGACACTTTTCTTTTCAAGAAAGCTATTATTTGTATTTTCTTTTAAATTTTCTGATACTTCCAAATTTTTATTCATCTTTTGTATATCATTTTCATTTACTATAGACATTTGAAATTTTTTGTTGAATAATTTACTTTGGCTTCTTGTAACATATTTTGGTTTTTTCACCTTCATATCCTTCTTATTACTTGTGTTTTTCAATTTTTTATTTACCAGTCTAAATTGCAATGGAATATTATGCACCATTGATACATCATTCAATATATTTTTAAGTCTTAAACAATCTTGCAGAACAACACATGCTTCCTTTAAATCTACGAATTCTTTATATTTATTTTCCTTATTCATTTTCTTCAATGTATTTATATTATTCTTAGAAACACTTTTGTTAACTTTTGTATAAGATCTTTCTCTGGTGCTTCTTTTTGGATAAAAAACATCCATTTTTTCTCTTACTTTGCTCTGCGTTATAAATTTACTTAACTTATTGCGCCTATATCAAAATAAACAATAGCTCAAACTCCAAATTAAAAAATGACATGAGAAATATTTCAGCAACGTAAGCACGTATCTATGAAATGTTGCACATGTTTACGAAATATCGAAAAAATATTGTAGTATAAGTGTGTATAATATTTACTTACTATTATTATTCTTTTTTGTTGAAGAAAACAATAGGCTAAACTCGATTCATCTTTGTGATCCACTGGAGCTTCCACTGCAATTAAATCCACTTGCACGTGTGCATTCTTGAAACTTCACTTGTCTTTATTATCACAATTCAAACGCGATGACTAAACAACGAGAATCACAAGAAGCGTTCGATTTATCGATAATATCGATTTCCCGCCAAATTTTAAAATTTCAACACAGGCAAAGAATGAATTTCAAAAAATGAATTTCTTTTTGTGGCTTTCGTTTACTTCTTTTGGAATTTTCTGTAAAAAATTATTATTCCTTCGCTCGACAAGTTTGTCTAGACAAATATCTAAATCGAAGTTAGAAAGCAATAACATGCGAAGGAATAAATTTATTCATTTATTATCCTCACATCGATGAAAAATACGTGTTATCATGAATTCAATTGGAAATAAAGGAATAAAGAAATATTCAAACTATTAGTTTCAACAAGAGCTATTTATATTAAAAGTTATACTGCAAATAATTGATACATGGATTTTAAGAGACCTCCTTTATCTTTTTTTATGAATTGAAAACTCGAAGTACAAGTATAGAGCATATTTGTTATTAAACAGAAAATACTCATTACAAAAAATTAACAACATAAATAAGTTGAAGATAATTTATACAAAATATAAGGCACATTAAATCAAAAAGAAAATTTTTAAAAAGAAGTTTTTTAATTATATAAAAATATATGTTGCTTTTAGCAATAGTATTTCCAAAATTTAAAAGAATAACGCATATTTCATACTTATACATAATGAAATTTTTAAAATTTATACGACATTTCATATATATCTATACATAAAATTTTCAAATAAAATTCTAACAAAATCGCGTAAACAAAACATTATATCACCGATTAGAAAGTTGCATTCCACTAAAAAAGCAAACGCAGACGTGTCTAACACGTGCGACCAATCTCAATAAGAGATATTTTTCCTGCTTTTCCTAAAAAGCAAGGACACCTCTTTAAAATAAGAGTTAGGAGTTTCGAAACACAATGCATTGAACCGTTTCAATAGCGCGTCTGGAAAGAATCAATGGAGTGCTGTGGTCGTAAAAAAATTCATTTGCGAAACACGTGTGAAATATGTTTCACAGACGATCTGCGACGAAATATAATTTTATGACCAGCATTTATTTAACATAAAAAGTTAATTTCAACCGTTGACTTTGATTGTTTAGCAACAGATTTTTATCCGCCGCATCTGTGTTTACCTTCGTGTTATGTTCGTGTATAATTTTAAAGCACAAAAGAAAAGGGAAGAAGTAGACGAAAAACCAGTGGCAGATCTACTGAAAAATATTTAAAAAAAAAAATTATCAAATATCAAAGGAATATTTTTTATGAAAAAGAAAAAGAAAACTCAATAATGCCTCTCACGTACGTTATTATTACAAAAATAATATACGATGAATACAGTCTTTCCACAGAAAAACGCCATCGATTTTTATACGCATAAACTTATGAAACGATTTGCTAAAATCAATTCTGTGATAGAGGTTTGTAAACGGTATTGTCCAAATTATTAAAAGCCATTTGTTCGTCGATCCAATCACGTGCTAAGGCAACATTAGCATAAACACCTGGAGTACCACCTTCTGCGCAACCGATTCCCCACGCTACAATACCCGCTTGCAAGTACGTGCTAGGATTATTTTTAAGTGGGCATACAAGAGGACTTCCTCCGTCACCCTAGAAAAATTAAATCATTCATTTCGGTATACACAATGGATATTTAAATATTTTCACAGAATCTGAATATAAACGTATGCTATATGATTTAAAAGCCTACGATTAATTTAATAGATTATAGATGATTAATTCACCTTGCAAGTGTCTTTGCCAACTTCTCCACCAGCGCATATAAAACTTTCGTGAAGAACGAAATATTTTCCTAGTCTAGTCTTTCGAAGCTGTTCTTGACATGTATTACGTGGCACTATTGGCAATTCTACCTTCTTCAAGATTACCTGGTAGTGTCCCTCCTTACCTATAAGTTAAGTTACCGTTTCAAATAGGAACTCGAGAGGAATTGTCACAATCTAAATAGATTCAAATCAATAGTAAAGATTCTTACCAAAGATATCCTTTCCCCAGCCACTAGCAAAACATCGACTGTTATCAAATATATCGTTTCGTTCTGGCAGGCAAACGAGATCAACGTTGTCTGTCAAATTCACCGGCTCGGACAAGATTAAAATGGCGAAGTCGTTAAAAAGAGCGCCGGCATAATATTTTTCATGAACGATCACTTTCTGTACGGTGCGATCTTGATGAGGATAAATCTCATTATTAGTTTGCGTGTCCCATTCTCCAGCGCGAATTCTCAATTCGGATGGTTGCTTTCTGTGCGAAAAGCACGTGTATTTAATTAGAAATTGTTGCACAAGTCAATAATATCGATGATATTCAGAAGCATATTAGACTATTTACCCTTGCACGCAATGAGCAGCAGTTAAAACAGCGAACTTGTGAATCAAGGAACCACCGCATTGATAAACGTTCAATTTCTGATTGTTTTCGCCGATTGGTTCTTCCTTCAATATAGCCACCATCCACGGGAATTCGCCAAATTCTGCTTCGCTGTTACTGTTGCCAGTAATTCTGAAACCAACACCATTCGGGTGCCTTTGTCCACAGCCTTTTCTCTCGAGTGGCGGACGTATTTCTTCAGGATTCTTCCTGTCTGGTATTTTGCAACAGACGGCCAGGTAATTCTCGCACGGACCTGATAAAGCTCTGTATCATAATTATTTATCGTATAAATAATATTTCCTTAAAACAGTATTTCTCACTTTATATTCCAAATGCGCTAGCTTGAAAAATGTTAACTAATATTATGTAATTATATAAACCAGAGTGCGAATTTCTATACATTTGTAAAAAATATTAAAGCTCAAAAAAATTGCAAATAGTATGAAAGAATATACATATATATATAGCATCCGCAACATAATGCTTACTACAACAATATCCTATCCTTTTATTATTTTCTCAAAAATATGATTTTACATAAAAAATCCGCAGTTCACATATATTCACACATATATACGCCACAGTTGTATTCCTGATCGACGTTAGTTCAAGTTACTTTGGAATATAATTATCGTACTTAGAATACAAAGTGAAAAATCTATCTGGAGTAAATCCAAAGATAGTCTCATGCGGCGTGCACATTTAACAAACTATAATTAAACCTGATATCCACATATTTGTTAGATCGTTGCCATTCTCCCATACAGAATGAATTTTATTCTGTGCTTATTCGAGAATACATGGACGAATATTACTGATACGTATTTGGTATCGATAGGATTAATTCAACATTACCTCATAATCGTGCACCGTCTCCGTAACACAGTGCTAAATGTTTGCCATTTTGAGACCAATCTTTAGAATTCACTCTCACTGTTCCATATTTATAGTGTCATTTATATCAACCAGACCTGATATCGATCAGTGTCTCTCCATTTTCCGAAATGGTACCGTTTCGACATTGATAATACGGCACGCATTCGCAGTCTCCCGGTGGTGGTTTCGTATTATTCGTTCCCAAAATAGTAGTGGGTGTAGTAGTGGTTTGTTTTTTATTAAATACATCCGAAATTAAATCGTCTAAAGAGCTGGTAACGGGGGACGAAGTTTGCGAACTTGTTTTAAACGCGCTCGCTATCAAAGCATCCAATCCACCGTCAGATTGGGGAGCTGGTGCAACCCAAGGGAAGTTGATCACCGTCAATGCCAACAGTATGCACCACGTTGCCATGTTGGAGGTCCTGAAATAAATTCATTCGTTAGAATCTTTACACGAATCTCAAGAGGTCGAGGTGCAAGAGCTCTTGTATAAATGGAAACCATCGGCCAAATGGTGTCAGTCAGATGTTTTTTTAAGTTTCGAAATGGAGACCTCTGGCCTTGAAATCTTAAGTACTTTGACCGATCAATAAATATTTTTGGAATGAAAAATTGTAAGAGACAGTTTTGGTTACATTAATTTGAAACTGTCAATCTAATCTAATCATTTGCATTATTTATACGAGTATAAAGAAATACGTTTAAAAATATGCTTTGTATAAACGAATATACTCGAGTTTTAATAGAATGTTTAATATATTAATAGATTAATTCAACTGTTAAACGAAACTCCAAGAAAATATTGTTGAACAAATAGATTTCAATATAGATTTTACTGTCGATATTATAAACTTATTGTTAAGGCAATAGAACATTTTTATAAATAAAACTAGATAATCTAGTCAAAGAAAGAAGATGAACGATTGCAAAAAAGTAATGTTAAAAGATGGACGTTGCAATCTACGAAGATATCGTAAGAGATTATCAACCGGCTAGTGTTATTTTTCTTTTTCCTTTTTTGCATATAAATAAGTATGACTTCATGTTTTCGAAGATGGAACCGGTACAACGAGGCGAGAAGCAGTGAGTCCACTCCCTCCCTTCGTTCAGTAAGCGGAATACGAGGGACGTTTCGTAAAAATTTACAAGTGAGCTGGAGGCGTTCGATTCGCTAACGTGATCCATTGCTTATTCCTTTCATACTAATTTCGTCTAATGCTTTCAAGAGATATAGCTACGGTCATCGTTCAGTTAACGTTATTGTAAACAGGATAAGTTGTCTTACTTGAATCAATCAACAAGAAAGATGATACACATTGATGAATTACATTGATAAACATTATATAAACTTATAATGTGTATTTAATATCTAACGTTGAATGAATATTTCAAGAGAATGTCAAAGTCTGAAAAAGTTCACAAATAAATAATTCATTGATTTCACGATGTAACCATGACTGCAGCAAATGTTTCGAGATTTCCAGAAAGAACATAATAAATATTGCATTTTGAAGCGTAAATCAACAATAAATCTCTGAACCTCGTCATGGGTGGCTGACCAAGATTACTAATTATACGAATAATTGCGCGACGTTCATGAATGATTAATAAGCAAAATTTTCCAACTTGGAATTCCCAAGGTTTATCACAATTGTTTAAAAAAAAATATAATGAAAGATTATCAAAACAAATTGTAAAAAAATGGACAAAGTGATAATACCAGAGACTATCTAAAATTCCGAAGCACATAAATTATATAAGCATTCATCCCTGTGTGTGCTATTCTTGACATTGATCTTTTTCAGAGTCTGGTTAGTACAATTATGGTATGTCAATACGTTAAATATTCTCTCATTCTTTTACATCAGATTTGTTAAACGAATCTAAAAATAAATCGAACATAAATATTAATTGAACGTCAATTGAAAATCAATAATAAAATTAGCCATCAAAAATGATGTTGAATTGCAATAGACATTTATTACACGTTAAGAAAAAAATGTTAGTATTGCCTGTCAAGGACTTCCAGGAAAGCTTCTCACTCTCAGCCAACATCTTTATCTTTTCTTATAAACAGTCTAACACAAATTATAGCTTCACTACAGTTCCATAAGATTTCTTTTTTTTTTTGCAACTGATTCATAGTTGATTTCTTTAGAAAAATAATCCTAAAATTTATGTTTATGTTCATTGAACAACACGAAAATGTATGTTATGTATTACTATCACTTTAATGCACCATTCAGTCACACATCATTTAATGTGAAACAATAGAACACTTACTATAAATTGATCTTTGATCTGAATCGATGAGTTTCCTCTTGAAAGAGTAACGAACGATTGCGGTGCGTCAAATGTCGGACCCGCGACTTCGTTTACAATTACATATACAGCAGCCAAGCTTCAAGTATTTATGAGGCTAATCCCCACCAATCCTTGATTTCATGATTCTCCATCCCAGCGTACGTGTATGTGTTGTCTATTAACCTTAACCCATTGGATATCGAAGCGATCTTACTCATTCGAGTCAGGTGGTATTCCCCATGCGCAACTATAGAACTGAAGCAAGATTTCCCGGAACCTTTTCCAGAACAGGTAGGAATCCCTTTTTTAACGATATCCTTAGCTTCGCGTGTTTATTCATAAATTTTACGTCTACTTGCTAAAATACATATGTACTGATTGATACTTTTTTTCCAAGAAATTTACAATAAGAAGTGAATTTGTAAAAACCAAGATTTCTCACCTCCTTTGAAATTTTTCTGAAAAATTCTCTTGCTCTTGTGTTTTTCGTCAAAACATTCTTCGTGAATTGAAACGATGATTTCGACAGAGGAATTTCTAAAAATAAAAATGAAGTCGTAATAGGTCACTTACTTTGTATATGTTCCGTGAAGTAATAACCTCTCTTGTAAGATATAAACTTATCCCCGTTTAATTTCAACACGGCTATTGCTTCCAAACGTGTTGAGAATTTAATTTATCTTTGGAATTATCATTGTTTTCTTATGCCAAGAAAAAATATGTCTCTTGATTATTGAATCGTACTTTAAAATTCGGAGGCAAATATTTTTTCATTGTTGTTGTTATTTCGAATTTTCTAATCGTGAAAAAGATCGGCCATGTTAATTCATTTACTTTGCACCAGATGTCACGACAATGACACGACAGATAGACGATATCGACATAATCATTTAGACGCGCTTTAGGAAAAATAGGTCGCAACAATGCTCGCTTAATTGTTATTACCGACTCGTGAGATTTTGCGATAACTGATATAATATTCACATACGTACCCAACGATGCACATCGTAGATAATCGATGGGAAAATATAGTATGGAAGAATATTACAACGCTGTCCATCATTCACCTCCTCGTGACTCAAGACTGCAATCAATATTTTTCTAACTTATGCAATGGCATACTTTTGTGCGATATTCAAAGGAAATGACTGCAATTTGTAGGTTATGTTTTTTTTATCGGTTCGAGTAAAAATCGGTATGTATTTTTTTAATCGAGCATAAAATATGGAACAAATATCATTGAAAAAAAATTGATATAAGATAAAAATACTACGATGTATGTGTATGTATAAATACTTATTGTTACAGGAAATAATTTAAAATTGTTACATTCGTTGGATTTACAAACACGGTTATCTTCTGGCATTATTTATTTTTTAATATAACTTGATAAAAAAAGACTAGATAATAAATCTTTAAGATACATTATTTTTTAGTACGCCCCGTAAGTTGCCAATTGTTGACTAATCCATTCCGTGTATTGCGCTACATTTGTGTAAACGGCAGGAACATTCGACGATCCGCAACCGATTCCCCAAGATACTATACCAGCCTAGAAAAAAGGAATATGTCATTTCTTCTTTTTCTTATTTATTGGTATCTGTAGAATGCAATGCTTGAAGTAACGTGATACCTGAAAGTATTGTCCTGTAGCTGTGGGGCACACAAGAGGACCACCACCGTCTCCACGGCATGTGTCCTTGTTTACCTCTCCCCCTGCACAAACAAAAGAGCTGTGCAACTGAAAATACGCTCCTAATCTTGTCGTTCGAAGTCGATTTTGACAATCAGACCTGTCCACTAAAGGCAGTTCTACTTTCCTTAATTCAGTTTGATACGTTCCATCTACATGTATCAAAAATATTTAATTAAAAGTTTTTATAAGTAAAATGATATTTGCGAGGACATATAAAAAAAAAAAAAAGATAAGACAAATAGTATAACAATCATACCGAATGAATTCTTTCCCCAACCTGTGCCAATACACTTAGTACCAGCAGGGAAAAGTAGTCCCTGCTGTGGTATACAAATAGGGGCAATGTTCACATTCAATTTCACTGGTTCGTTTAAAATGATCACTGCTATATCGTTGAACAGACCGGCATTATAAAACTGAGGATGGGCCACTATGGCTTTTATGCTCGCATCTAGAAAAGGAAGTGGTTGGTCGCCAGGTTGATATTTCAGATCCCATTGTCCAAAACGCGCTATCGGTCTGTTGTTTCCTAAACTAACAGTCTTTTTTCCTCATACTTTTCTTCTAAATTTTAATTATAGGCTGTGTTTTTAATAATCCAATTTTCAATTATAGAATCTGCATAATCTTACTTGGTAACACAATGCGCAGCCGTGAGAACAGCCTTGTTGGTAATCATGGATCCCCCGCACTGGAATAGATATTTACCATCTGGTTGTGCCGTTAACAAAGCCACCATCCATGGAAATTCTGCAAAATACGTTTTCCCAGTGTCCACAGGTTGGGCTGTAAAAATAAAAAAATAAAACATCTCCAGTTCCATTAATACAACAGTCACTTATCAATCATTTACAATCATCTACTTACCCGTCGCATAAGTTTTATTCTGAATACCACATCCAGGTTGCAAGAACGACACTTCTCCATTCACTACGTTCTCGTCTGATTTGTCTAAATCGTCGTTTCTTGCTACATTGATCGTAGGAGACGCTCGGCAGCAAACTTCATCCGCGCTTCCACACACAGAAAATCTTGGATCGATGGCACCAAATCCATTCGTGCTGACAGAATTTCCTGGTATGCATAACCAACTTTTCATACAATAACAAGCCTGAGGGGTCCCGGGATTCCTGACAGGTCCGATCACCACTGGAATTCCGTTTCCATAGCCTGGGTTTATTGCTTGACAGCAGGAGGTAGGTACAGGACACGTCTGTTGACTGTAAGTTACCACAGGATTTATGATACCAACATTCACGGGAATTACAACCCCGTTATTGCACTGGATCGCATTTCCGCATAATACACAAATTTGCGGAGAAACGACAACTGGAGGATTAGTTACAACAGGATACTGAATCACGCTGGTTGGTCTGCAACATACCATGTTGCTTGGACACTGTATATATTGCGTACGAGGATTTATCACACCTTCCCCGGAATTGCCGATGATTCCGTTTGGATCGCATTGAGTGGCCAATACACAGATACAAATTGGGATAGGCTGAGGTTCCGTAGTTGGAAAGATCACTGGTGGAACCGTGGTCGAGGTGGTCGTAGTAGTAGTTGCCTTCGTAGTAGTTGCCTTCGTAGTAGTAGTTGTCTTCATGGTCGTAGTAGTAGTAGTAGTAGTAGTAGGTTTCATAGTGGTCGTCGTTGTGTTCCGTGGACGACAGCAGACTTCTAAATCTCCAGTGCATCTTCGATATCTGTTTTGAAATATGAAACCAACGGTCAACACTGAACGAACTAATATTCCTCCAAGTGTTGTGGAAAAACTCACCGAATATCGATCACCCCAATACCATCCGTAATTATAGTGCGATTAGCGTCACATAAATAATAAGGGACGCAAATACAATCAGCAGTCGGTGGCGTGGTTGGCACATTTTCTATCTTTTGGATCTTCTTTTTCAGTTTCAGAAGATGAAAGAAGAACAGAGGTGACGAGACTCGGTGAAACGATCTATCCACTCTTCTTACTTGTTCGTCCGATTCGTCTGAAGATATCACTTTCGAAATCATCAGGAAGATTGCGATGGAGTATACCAGCGCAAGGAACCGCAGCATGACTTGCTTTCTATTTGCCGGCACGTTCTCTATTGAACAACTTTTAACGCGACGCGTCGTTTATGTATACAGGATGCATTGGTTTCCTGGCATACCGGGAATATCCAAAGCACAAGGTTAATGGGTGGTTTTGTTATAGATCAAGTTCTCAGTTTTCTGAACAATGAAGAGCTACGTCATGGTTTATCCACTAGCTCGAAGATGAAATCAGATAAACGTTAATATTCCTGCACACATCGTCGGCTATCGTAACAAACTGTTTTCAAGTTTTCCTAACATGCTTTTTGGTGTGGCTTGTTTTATATTTAAATCAAGAGCTCTTTTGTTACGCTAGGCTTCTTTATGACAAATTCACCGACAATGTCCATTTATATTAGAGCAACTCGTCGTAACGAGTACAATGAATGACCCACTTACCTGGTAAACCATCGACCAAAAAAAAAAAAAAAAAAAAAAAAAAAGAAAAAAGAA